GGTGGCCGGACATCGAGCTCGTCGGTAAATGGCTTGCTGACAACCACGTCTTGTAGGCCATCGGAGCCGTTCCGAGACTGGCTGAATACCATCGAGGGAGTAATGGGAGACTGGCTTGACTCGGGAGTGAGGTGTCCCGCAGGGTCGAAGAAGAAGTCGTACTCGAAAGGCGCGACGTTGGCGGGCTCGTCATCGAACTGAACGAAGGACCCCCAAGAATCTGCCATATCGAGCATGTCGAGGTCCGCGAGTGAGGGCTCTGTGAACAATGCTGGTGTTGAAAATGATGTGCTTGGTTGTGGTGACCTTTCGGTTGCTACTGGCGAGTCCCTCTTCGACGTCTTGGCCTTCTTCGCCGACCGCGCTGGAGCCGCGGCCGCACCCTGTGCTTGTGTGGTGGTGCGCTTCTTGTGGCTAGGGTCACACCTGACCTTCTTCTTCTTGCAGGCGTCGCATGCCTTGATGATGCGCATCAGATGCGCATGATCACGCTGCTCCTTGGTTTTGCAACCGCGAGAAGCAGAGTTTGTGACATCGCGACCATCCTTTGTCATGATCTTCATCCCAGGGAGGTGGGAGAAGTCGTTAGCCTGGGGCTTTGTCACAGAAGATGCGGCCCTCTTGGACGACTTGGAGTACACGGATTCCTGGCTGAGGGACGCGGGAGTAGACGCAGAGGCTGAGCCGGGCGTAGACTGAGACCAAGACCAGTCAGAAATAACAGGGGAGACGAAGTTGGAGCTGCTGCTGGAGTTCTGCATGGGGCTAGATCCGGCAGAGGAGATGGCGGAGCTGCTGGAATCGCTGGCAACGGGATAGTACTTGAAGGTCTCTCCAGTGAGCTGAGAGAATGCAAAGAAGTCCATGGAGACGGTAGCTCGTTTCTCCTGAATGGAGGCAGAGCCGGGGAGGTAGGCGTTGACAAGGTCGTCGAGTTCCTGGGTGCCCATCTCAGGGTAGAACTGCAGAGACGCGCCAAGGAAGGGCTGAGAGATAGAGAAGCCTTGGAAGGCAGCGGTAGACTGGTTTCGTATCACGCCGGACATTGCGTTGATAGTGTTGGCTACGGAAGGTATGCGGCGGAATGTAGAAGATATGGTGACGGGGAATCGGATCCCTGCAGTAACTAAGACCGGATTGTTTCCCAAGTCTGCTGAAAGCTTGCTAATGAGAGTGAGTAAGTAATTGTTTAGCCGGTCTCATATCCTACATCAAGCTGCCCGGAATTCTGTATATGTCGAGTTGAGGTAGGACGATGTTTGGGGGGGGGGGGGGGTTGTCTGCTTTTACGTGAAAGTGATACAAGATACATCGTGATGGCGAAGTGTCTAAATCCCCAGATCTTCCCACCGAGGAACTACATGCTGCCTTGGGAATCGCTTTGATACACCAAGTCGTATGGAGATTAAAGCTCACCTTGATAGAAAGCTCTCGTTCGAGGCGATTTCCAATATGAATTTGGTGTAAACCGGGTGATGATACTAGATGGGAGATTGTCTCTGGAGACGAAGCTTGCAAGGGGCAGGCAGTTTGTCAGCAACTTGGATTCCTCCTAAGTTGGCTGATGGGGTGTTGTTGAAGGGAAAAGTTGCGGGACAAGAGACGGATCAAGGGAAGTTCTCCAGCTTTGGAGTAGCTTCACTCGGGTCTGCTAATCGACGTATTCGACTTTTCAGTATTGAAGATTGGAAAGAGAAGTTCGAGAGGGAAGCGGGTGAGCCAGGCCGGAGTCATGGATGGTATTTCACTGCTGAGGCCGCAACTGGCTGTCCATCGGTACCCCAGCAAGGCGCAGCCGGTGGTTTTGATTGAGCTCGTCGGCGAGATGAAAGCGGTTTAGCGTAGTGCGGACGGTGTCTGGGGATGAGGCCAATGAGAGATGCATATACGGCTTAAGAGGCCCACTTAAAGGAATATGATTGGCTTATATGCCCCACAACTTGTGAGCCGGGCGCTGGGTTTTCGGCGAGTATAATCGTCTCTTATTGGTCAACGACGTCCAATCTCAGGTCACGTGGTCCCGGTGACTCAACCCATAGCCAATGGCGGCCGCCTGAGGCTTCAGACAATCAGTCATAATCCGTCTGAGGTCTGACTGACCTGCTCTCACAAGCTCCTGCCACAAGCAACGACGTACCTGAAGGTATCCCATACACATCCTGTCCCTGTATTATGCACGATGACCCCGGGAGGAAGACGTACGGGTACAGATGATTCCAAAAGTTCCCCGGACGCAGCACAACATACTCTGTTCACTTGAGGAGGCTGATAGGATATCAATGGATCCTGTCGTGATCTTGTAAGCGGGGTGGTGCGCGCGGTAAACCCCACATACCACGAATCCCTTAGCTGGAAAGAGACAACCTAAGACTCCAGAATGCCAAGTCATGCCGGGTACATGAGGCTTAGAACCTCCAGACGAAGGAAATCAAGGTATCCGTACACAGTACAGAGTACACAAGCTTTATTTTACCTTCCGTTCCGTGCCGGAACCTCTCGGGGCTAAGCTTCCCAGGCACCTTTCGAGGCTTTCCACCTCTGGTTTGCCAATGCCACCACACATAGAGCGGAATCTGCCCGGTTGCTGACAAGTGTGTGGCTGGTTTCGCCCAATTGGTTCAAGGCAGCCGGGGTGTGTTACCAGCTAGCACAATACGAATACAGAATGGCTGTCTTCTGCAAATGGGCCAAGCACGGTACTTTTGCTGTGTTATGGGCGTGCCGTTGTAACGCTAGTCTGGTCCTTCGGATTCGAGGGAATCCTTTCGCTCCATTCGGCTCTAGTCCGCAGTCTATAATGTTCACTACCCAGCCGTGCCAGCTTCGTGCCAGCCGAACCAATTTACCCATGTCGTGAAGTCGGGACGATCGATACCGGAAGTAAGAGGGAAACTATTTCATATAAGTTCCTTCACTCACCTAGATCTGCTTTCTGTATTTACCGTCGCTGAAGAGAACTCGAATGAGTGGACAATATGATGAGACTCAGTTACCACGGAATGGGAGCGATTGCGTGGAACTTTGGTCCCTTATGAATTATCCTACCAATGTCGTAAAGCCGCCCTCACATACCTTACTGAAGGCATTGGTTGAGGACCTGCTGAACCGGAATCACAGCAAACCCCGGTGGCTGAATCTCTATACTTATCGTAAAAGTGATCCATCTGGCACTCACAAAGGTTTCATTCTTTTCGATAACAAGGTACTCAGATCCGCCTGGCACCTGATTCTGCGTAGCAGGTCACTATCACTAGTCACACAATAGCAAATAAAGTTCGGTCCAAAACTGGTCAAGGGTGGTCGACAACTGGGAGGTGCAACACCTGAACGGCCACGTACAATTTCGATATATTTTGCGCAGGATTCTTCATGTCAAGTTTCAGAACTGAACGGATTCTCCAGTATTGCCATAGCTGGATGATGGCTGGCTTGGTCGTTGTAATCAGACTAGGAAAAGGGTGGAGACGGGAAGAGTCGGCGGGAGACTGGGTGTGTTGCTGACCGTGTCTGTACCTCGACCTATCTGACATTTGCTTCCTGTCCCGAAGGAGTCGCAGTAGTTAAGTGTGTGCAATCTTCGTTACCAAGCTATCCCGGTATATGCGGTTTCGTTTGTTGTGTGCAGAATTGGCGAACCTTCTCGGGAACCTTGATTCTAATTGTAACCGTGTACCGGACTTACAAGGCTGGGATGCTTATAATCATTCGCTCGAATCCCCTAAACGCTAACCACTAGATGCCAGCCACGGCTCGACGATGAGGTGGTTGGGAGCTTGCCGGCCAACAGCCCCAAGCATGTAAGTCGACCTCGAAGACACAGCTCCAGACACCTCTGTGACGAACCGTGATGAACAAGAGAACAGTGAATTGTCACCAAGGCCTGTAAAGTAGCGGGGGAAAACGCGAGTGAATTACCCCGCTTGCACAGGTCGCGAGTTTGAGTCTCGTGAAAAACCGCTGCATCGCTACACCTGAGGCTGGTAAGAGTCTCCAGGGATTTGCGGAGGTCCCCCGTGAGGGGGCTGAGCTTTTTCATTTTGTTTCGAGTAAGTGAAATATTGCACGGGGCAAGGCAGTTTACGGCAAGGGCTCATAACATCTCATATAGAGGAGGGATGGACATGTCCTGATAGCATCATCTGGCCAATATCTCACTGCCAACCACGTGGTCTCCAACTTCCTCACACCGAGGCATACTCCCCTCCATCGACCGTCATTTGAGGTGAGCTTCACTTCTACAGCTCGTTCGAATGAACAGTCGATCTATGTAGTATACGTATATCACTTTCATACGGCCGTAGAGGTGTGTGTGCCTTGCAGCATTTGAGTATATTCAACGAAGGACAACTACGTACAAACGTATCGACCAAGAGTCTCACAGGGTCAATCCTTAATAGAGACGAATATTTTCACCAGGACGATGAGCGGCGTTCGCACCTCTTGGCGAGCGATGAATTCTGCATTCGTTGTCGGGGTCTGCCCAATCTACAGGCTACTGGACTGTTTATACTCGCCCCCGTTCATCTCAGCTGCTGGAAGGAACCTTCTACTCAGCTCTGACCCGGCTAGTTCCCGCATCCTAGGAGTCTCTGGTGTAATTCATCGCTTCGCTGCCACCTGCGGGGGAGGGGGGAACGACTCAGGACTGATGTTGCGGGCAGCATGTTGAGCTCGATCTCGAGAAATGGAGGCGCATCCAGTCCATTTAATGTAGGGATATATAAATTCATTGGATCAATCCAAATTAGGTACTCGCTTTTCGCCGTTCTGTACCTGCGTAGCTTCATACTACAGTACAATGCTGACAGTGACGAAGTCCCGAAGATATCCTCACTTTCCCAGGTCAAGCGTAAGGCGCGTGCGAGATCCTTGAGATCTGTCTCCTAGGAATGCGACATGAAAACCGCGTCTCGAGGGTCGGGATCGAGGGAGTTCCATGATTCCACTTGCCTATCTATATGTTTGTCGAAATTTATCGCCCTGTTCTGTTGCTAGCCTTATCACCCAGGTCTTGTGCATCCTAACAAATCGTGAGCCTCTTTGCTCCAGGGACCTCCGTTTGCCCTTTGAAACCCAGGAAGTTTCTTTTTGGGCTCACCGGCCACCACGCCGACTTCAGCGCTAGTCCTTGCCTCTGATTTATTGCCAACTCTGCCAAGGTTCCTATTGAGAGCTGCGTCGAGGTTGGCCGCCAAGACTGGCTCTGGAACAGCGCCCATAGCATCTGACTTCTGTGCCGCTTTCCGGCCCCTCGTTGCTGGGTTCTCTAACCGAGTCGTTCTGGTAAGCCTTATGGCTTCTGCTTGTCCAATGCCATCCGACGTTTTAGAAACCGAGGAATTGGCTTCGGAATGACTATTAGTCGTAGCGGGGGCTTCTCTCCGAGGCGCTGCAGTCGCGGCCGAAGTTTCGAGGTATTTGCAAGGCGGTCTTGTGTTGAACGAGCCAATAATTTCCTTACTCTTTACAGTCCTTCGACCTAGAGATGCTAATCGCGGGCCTGGATTGACGTGAACCTCTTCCACGTCGTCTTGCCGGTCCGGGCTACGCCGAGCTTTCCGCGTCCTTAGCGTCCGCGCTGGCTGCAAGGAGTGTCCGGATGATTGACGACGTTCTTCGTCGGAGATTTCAGGCTGAACCAAATCCTCAGCCATCTCGTCGGGTCGTTTGTAGTCTTGCACTCTATCGGCCCTGACATCAACCTTCGGAGCGGCTTCTGTGTAGCCATCATGGGCCGAATTCCCCGGTGAACTTTCTATGGGCAAAACAGGGATCGTTGTAGGAGTAAGTTCCGAAGGAAGGGCATCCGTTATGACCTGTCCATCTGATGTTGACGGGTTTGACCCATTTGCGTGTGAACTCAGTTGCCGTTTTTTGGTCTTCGTGGTGGCCTTCCTCGCGACCACCATCAGACCGCGTTTTTCTCTTGTCTTGATGCGAAGTTTGGTCTTTGGCTCTTCTGGATCTTCAGCCTCATCACCTGGTACCAAAGTCCTTTCTGGTACCGACGCTGCTGGTATCAATGAGGTGCTTTCATTCTCCGAGAGGTGTTCGTGTATTCCTGGCGCCTTCCTCTTTGCCGTTGCTTGAGCACGAAGTCGCACAGGTTGAGGCATGGCGCCCTTGTCAGGCCGATCATCTAGTCGGTGTGTAGCAGCTTCTTGTATGCCGTCTTGCGACTTCCCATTGCCTTTTCTTGAGTTTGTTTGCTTCGGGGCTTCGAGGCGACTCTCAGATTGATGACTGCTAGGGCCCAGCACCTCTCCAGGCTTCTCGGTGATCTCTACGTCTCTTTCCACGTCTCTTTCCACTGATACATCTCTGCGGACAGGCGTGCTTGGCCTCTTAAAGGGCCTTTGACCTAGCGGGGCTTGTCTTGCTAACGCACGGGTGTTACTTGTAGCCGGAATCTCTGACTCGCATGTTATCGAGGCCGTGACATTTCTCGCTGGCACTGCATCATCGTTGGTCAAATCAACGACTGCAGAAGGCTTTGGCCTGGATGAGTTGACGCCTTTGCTTGGAACAACCGAGCGAGGTGGTGCTTCCACAGAGGGAGCAACGCTTCTCGGTGTCGATGCGGGCTGACTTCGCACCGGGGCGCTCGCCGACCAAGACGATAGATTGAGAGTTGCGCCAAACAAGTTTTGGGCGTAGCCTGACTTGCTGGGCGGCGATATCTCTCTCCTTCTCCGCTTGGTGGGCCTTTGAGTCTCGTCATGGGGACTCGAAGATTGCTGAGCCATCACCCGATCTTCATATGGCGATGTGGTTGGGATCACGGCCCTCCCCTGTGGTCCGCGAGGAGTAGTGAAGACGTCAGACAAATGGCGTTGCCGATATTGGGCTTGGGGGTGCTGGACTGATGGCCGTGTGGGTGGGTGAGGCTGGTTTCCTGTATTTGCGGCAGAGCGAGCATGTCGCTGTTCAACATCCTTGGCTCTCTTGTCGAGGAGCTCAGTCAGGTCTTGGTCCTTGCTACCGATACACTCGGCGACTTGAACTATGACGGCTCCGCGCTCCAAGTTGAATTCTTCGCCTTCACCAAAGTCGAAGTCTTCCCGCCAGTGCATATCGCCGATGAAATTCCCTCTTTCATCGTAGATCATGATGCGCTTGTTGAACGTATGAAATTTCAGGCGACCGTCCTGCCATCTTTTCTGTTTTCTTTTCAGATCGTGGGTGAAGAGGCATATGTATTCCAACACTGGGGCGGCAATCGGGAGACCAGAGCCCATCTGGCTATTCTGGTTGCTGTTAAGGCTGGCGAGAGGCATGGTGATCAAGACGATAGCCGCGGCCCAAGGCAACGAGCCGCATGCTGCTTGTTGTAAAGATAAGTTTAGATAGCGATATGCATGCCGTGCCTACCCACTGTCGAAGGTAGAGGTGAAGCCTGGTAGACGCGACTAAGTTTGGCGCGCGTAAAGGGCCAGGTGAGACGCCAAGTCACATGATTGGCACTTCCGGTCCAGTTGGTCCGGCCAGCCCCTTCCTTGACCGGAGTTGCCTACTTCCTTCTCAATACCTCCGTTGCTAAAATCAAGTGAAGCAAGCAAGAGGGTGCAGCTAAGAGATAATTTCCTAAACTAGAAGTGTATGATGCACTCACCCCGCTCACATCATAATGAGGGTGTGAAAAAGGCGTCAATCTTCAAATGGATGTTATCCACCGAGCAGGAAATTGACGTGATGTCGTCTGTCAGGGACCCGGTGGGGGGAGGAGTGCTAGGTTCAGACGGTGCCCGCGGCTTCCCTTTCAGTTTTCAGGGCTTCATGGGATCTTCCTGGTTCAGTGTGGGTTTAATGTATGGAATAGGTACCTAGCGACGCGCTCAGCACGCGTAAACATTGAGAAAAGAGCTTAGGCAGTTGGGTTGGCGCGATACGTTTTTCCACGTCGTGGCTAGCTTTCTGAATTCTGGTCTGAGAAATCAGCCTGACAGACTTCCGCAATCCTCCAATATGGGAAAGCCAAGGCACGAACATTCACATGTGTTCATGGGCTGCCGATGTCCCCTCATCTGCAAAGTATTCGTACCTTGCCTGACGGATACCTACCTCCCTTTGTCCCTGGGATTTGCTGAGGTAGCTGACACTTCATGGCGGGGCAGCTTAGGTACCGTCAAGTCCCGTCTGAACGCCAAGTGGGCAGGGTGACTGAGACTGGGCCTTGGCTGTCTCCTTATGATGGAAGCCGGGTGGGCTGAAGCAGTGCCGGCAGCCGGCCATAGCTCTGGTACTTCGCTGTACTTTAGCCACCACAGGGTCACGACAAAGCTACCAACTTCGTAGGACTCAAGTCTCACCGCCTGGGGGGCTTGGTTGCCTGCTGGTTCGCACCATGGATTCATCATGGCCTCCAGGGTTTGTATTGCGCGGGTCAAAGGCCAAGTTGATCAGAAAGACGGGAATCTCCTGGTCTCGTCCAAGGCAATCGCGACACGACTCTCAACCAACTTCCATCGATTGGCAGCGACTCGATGTTATTCGGCCTGGGGCTGCTCTGCCATATCTTCGGTCTTGTTCCTTGTTTCAGTCCCCGGACAGTGACACGATACAGGTGGTTCGAAAGATACCTAAATACCTTACCCTGAGCCTAAGGTAGCAGTGGGAGCTGTATTCGTACAGAGCAAATACCCGGCAATGACACATAGCTAAGGTAGAGAATCCATCGACACGAATTAACAGCATGATATCTGTCCACTCCACAATGGCCGAGCTTCGTCCTGCGTATCCTGGGCACTTCCAGAAGCTGACCCGGTTGGTTGGGCTTCCCGTTTGTGCCAAAAAAGATTGGCGTAATTAATCCCGTCCCCCAAATTGCTCGGCTCCCCTCCTTGAAGTGCTAAAAGAACTATCCTTTCCCCGTACTGAGGATTCGTTCGTAACTTTCTCCGCTTCCACGCCCTCCCATCCAGCGTCAGGTCTAGCCAGTCACCAATCCAAAGGTAACCATCCTCCACATCCCGCCTTCACGCAACCGCTACCTCAGCTAACCACACTAGGTAGGGAGCTAAGCACAGCCTTATTCGATGCTCTTCACCCGAGTATCTACCTACCTAGAAGTCCTACCAACCTCACATAGGTAGGCAGGAACATCCCGAGAACACGGCTTGTCGGCAAGCTTGAACCGTTACTACTCGTCTGCCCACCAACGCTCTCTTGCTTGACCTACTCCTCCCAACAATCCAACCCCTCCTCCATTTTCCGACCAGCACTGCGACATAACCTCGCCAAACGCTGCCCATAGGTCACGGCCAACCCCTCGTCGCCATACTTCACCACTTGGTCTAAGGTGTTGGAAAAGTGGTAACATTCGCCTGTCCGTCGCTCCACTTGCGCCTCGCCGAGTGTAGCACTGCACTGTTACTCGTCCCCGAAATCGGAATAGTTGCTGCCTGCGAGCTACTCAGCCTCAGGATGCAGTCGATGCAGAGACAATTCGGCAAGCTCATGAACAAGGGCCCCGGGGACAATGCCAAAATTGCTGCCGTCTTACACGACTATGAAGATGCGGACAAACTGCTAGTCAAGGTACCCTCCTCTCACAATCATCTCAACCCGATGAAGTTCTCACATATGTGTGATATAATCTTAACTCATGGGTCTCGTGTTGCTAGATTATCGAGAACACCAAGACTCTCCGTGAAGCATGGGTCACCATGGCCACTAGCCAGTGGGCTATGGTAAAGGAGTACGAGGGCTTGTACGACCCAATTGTGGGAGCCTCGGAGGGACATAGCCGCCCCAGTGTCCAAACTCCTCAGCTGCAGCTCGATCGCACTTTCAAGCTTAGCGGCGCCTACTCTGACCTCAAGGACGAACTGACCGAAGAAGTGACGGCCATCGATAAGCAGGTCATTGGCCCTGCTACCGAGGCCCATGAGTACATTCAGCCCCTTCGCAAGACTATCAAGCAGCGGGAGAACAAGAGGCTGGACTATGAGAAGGCCCAGGAAAAGGTCAAGAAGCTCCAGAAGAAGCCCGGCAAGACGCCGAAGGAAGATGCTGCTTTGTCAAAGGCCGAGTTCGAGATGACTTGCGCGTCCGAGGTAAGTACTTCATCACGCGGATCTGGGTTTCTGAAATTGACGAACCATGGTCGCAGGAGTTCCAAGTTGCCGACGGTCACATCAGGGAAGCTCTGCCTCCGATCATTGAGGCCGTCTTCACTTTGATTCCTCATATTCTGGCCTCCCATGTTACGATCCAAAACAGGCTTCTCGGGCTGTATTACACTGTACTTCACAACTACTGCGAAGATCACGACTTTCCCTCTCCCCCACCCCCAATGGACAGCGTGATATCAACCTGGGCAGCGTCTTTTGTACCAATTCAGAAGGAGGTGGAGGCTATCAGTTGCATAGCACATGGCAAGAACTGGAGGCAACCAGTAAGGGTAGGGGACGACGGCCAGGGCCGAAAGACATCAACATCGTCACGGAACGGCTTGGGTAGGACGCCTTCTGGCATGAACGAGGGTGCAACACCGACCCCTCGGACCATGCGAATCCCCTCAAACAACGGAGGGAGCCGTCCATCTATGGCGAGGGAGCCGTCACCTCAACCTAGCCCGCAGTCGAGTAGCACGAATGTCTCGCGGTCTCAGCTCGGACTGCCAACCGACTTCACTACCGCCACGTCTCTTGGGAAGACCCAGGGTTCCCCCAACGTGTCGCCATCATACTCACGTACCCAGTCCGAATATTTTGGTCACCAGTCGGGGCTCGTCCCCGGTCAGGGGAGTCTGGCAGGGAAGAAGAAACCACCACCGCCGCCCCCAGCCAAGCGCTTCAAAGCGCCGGAAGAATTTGTCGTCGCCCAATATGACTACGCAGGGAGCAACGGAGATCTGAGTTTCAACGAGGGAGATATGATCAAAATCATCAAAAAGACAGACACAGATCAGGATTGGTGGGTAGGCGAGATAGGTGGCGTACGGGGCAGTTTCCCTGCCAACTACTGTAAAGCTGCTTGATGCCCGATGATGAGTTCGAAATCTTCACATATCCGGGAGAACGATATCGTTCAAACATATCGGCAAGGAGCATTCATGAAGTACTAAACAAATGTGAAGGTGGAAGTAGTGCCTGATTCATTTTGTCCTTCCTCCCCATCTAGTCTATCCGCCGCCCTCTCTGTCTCATCTTGAGCGAGGGCGAAAGGTGCGGAGTAGGAAAGAATAACACCGATGCGATGGCCCGCACGAATCTAATCCCGCAACGAGTGTAGAGATAACGCCGCAATCCATGCATGCATTACAGATGGCTGGCTCGGCTTCAGATACATCCTCCGCCGGCATAACCAAACTATACTGTTCCCCCCAATCCTAAATAAGAAAAAAAATTCAGCTTTGCTGTAATAACCAGAGGGTATCATAACCATGAACGATCGTCTTAATCTTGCCGACTCCATTCCGTTTGTCTTTTTTTTCTTCTTTTTGCTGCGTATCTTTCTCCCCTTGCCTTCTGTCGTCCTCATACTGAGGTAATGTGGCCCCAGATGAACCACGCCACCGTGGCTTTGACCGACGAGTACTGGCATCATTTTTTTGCCACTCTAGAAAACTTGCGGACCCGCTTCCACCGCCGGCGAAGTTGCTCCCTCACGGCGGATCCGGTCTTCCTCGGCCCGTAACACGCGGGCAATCTCATCATTGCGACCCCGATCGAGATATCCACTCTGCCCTAATCCTACCTCTAGATCCATCGGCGTCACGGGCCCCGGGCTTCCTAGTGGCAAAAGCCTCGGTGAGATGGGTTTGTGGACGCCGGTGCTTCCGATATGGTGTAAACTCGTCAAGGGTACCCCATTCAAGGTAATAGTGGAGCTAGGAACCGCCGCGGTGACTTGACTTGGTGAACTTCCAAGCACTTCACTCGCCGCCAGTCTCGCCTGGGCGATCATGTCTCGTTGATATTGTTGTAGCTTGCGGCGGACCTCGGAGTCTTGTCGTGAGGATGACCTGAAGGCCTCGCGTGTTGGGATGTGACCTTCTGATCGTGTTGACGATACACGGCTCGGGGGTCCAGAAGGTCCTATGCGGCCATCTTGACTGCTGTTTCGCTCGTAGTTCGAAGGGTAGTACTTGCCCATTGGCAAGGATGTATCGTGAACGCCACTGGGGATATACGAGGTAACGGGTGTGTTGACGCCGGATGAACCTGAAGGGTCGGCAGTGCTCATAGGAGAGAGATGGATTGATGGCGCCATGGCTGCAGATCGGGAAGCGCCACGGAGGTCGGCTTGAAAAGAGGAGTCGACAGTGAGAGAAGCGGCCTTGTGTCTAGGCAATCGACCCTCGGTTCTGGTTGATTGAGGTTGAGGGCGAGGGCCAGAGGTAGAGCCCTTGGGATCTTCGTGGAACGAAAAGTAACCACTGTGGTTTCAGTGTTAGCACACGGCACTGTATGTTTCACCACCAAAATGCAGTGATTTTGAGAAACAGTTGAGTGGAAGAGTAGAGAGTTAAGGTTGGCTTATTCGGGAAAGACGTTGAGGTGGCGGCGGGAAAGAAAACTAGAACTCACCCTGAGAGGTCGCCACGGGCTGACAAAGGATCGGGAGGTGTGGGCGTGCAGGCAGGTGCCGAGTTTATCTTTCGAAGAGTACTAGTCGTAGGAGACAGGTCAAGAGGAATTGAGCGAGTTCGATTGTATCGTGCAGATTGAAGAGCAGATAGGTCGAGAAGACATGGTGCGGACGATTCGCCTATTAAAAAGAGCCAAAGGGCGGATTAGTCTCGAAGGTATCCTCCTCTTGAGAACCTAAGCAAGGAACATGGATGTGTAAAATTCCGATCAAGCGTCTTGGGCCAAAAAAGGAAAAGAAAAAAAAAAGACTGCGTAAGAGAAAGGAAAATACACTATGTGCATGACGCAACTGTAAGGGTCCCTGGTGGCCATGCGAGACGGGAACGAACTTTCTGGGAGAGGTGAGGAAAAAGGGCTTAGGGCCGGGGGTGACCCCGTCGATAGCAGAAATGAGAGTGAATGATGACGATGTTCTGCCATCTGGCGGGCAGGGTCCGTCCCGGCCGAGTGAACCAAGGCCGCCGCTTAGCAGACCAGTCCCCAAACGGCAACCCAGCGTCCCAGCCCCTCCGGCCCCTCCCCACCACCTCAGCCTGGATGGAAGCATCGCATCCCCATTACTTCACCGCGTCGGTTCCGCTCCTCAGTCTCCAAGAGGGCGCGGACCAGACCGAACGCAGTGGAGGGACCTCATGCTGATACCGACATAGCGTTTGGTGCGTCCAGAAGACAACGTAGTGGCGCGCCATCCCCACTCCCTAATGGCCCCAAAGACACCACCTGATTCCAGTGGCACAGCCCAAAGCTATGGGAACGTCAGGCATGGAAGGCCTTGGGCCTTTTTGCACACAATGCCATAGTTCTCAGGGCTTTGGTGTGAAGTGGTGATCCGTATCTGGTCATGCTGGAGCGAGCAAACGAACCCAACGTAAGCACTACTAGGACCTCATCCTCGCAGTACGCAAGCACTCGCACACGCAGCCATCAGGAGAGTACCTTAACCCAATGGTGGTCATCGGCAAGTCGGCGACTCGGTGTTGCGTTGAATTGAGGTCACTAGTGAGGGGCATTGGCCACTCACTGCTCATCGGAGTCCATCCCGCCTGCTCATCGGGGAGGCCATATCTCCTCTTCTCCGCCCTCCCTCTTGACTGGCTCAGACTGTAGGCTGTACTCTCGGTCCTGTCCCTCTGATTCGATGAACGGAGGGGTTTCCTCTCATCTCGGCAGTTATTGTAACTCCAGGGACAAAAGGTCGTGAGGAAATCCAAGACAACCTAGTCTCCAAGACCAGCTGCGAGCCACGGTGCCACGGTGCACTGCGCCGTCGTCATTTGACCCTAGCCGACTAGCCTTCCTGACTCGCTGTCACAAGTCTAGGGACAAAAGTAGCAAACCGGCTCACTGAAGCATTGGGCAATGGGCGCCAACGTCCGTCCTTGTCGGCGCCGACGTTGCGGTCCACGGGGGGGCATTGACGGCTGGGTGCAGGTACCGGAGTGTATGACAGAGAACAGCGACCGATTGATCAACCGAAATTAACAACACAGGGACAGAACAGCCCACAGCCCCAAGTGCGACAACCAAAGAGCAGACAAACAGGAGACACCTAGGGGCAAGCCTGCAACAGTGAACTGAAAGCCCATGGAATAGGCGGGGGAAAGGTTCAAAGCTGAAGTTGGAGATAAATCAAAAGTGGGAAACTGATAAACTTGAAAAGAGCATAGAATAGTGGCCCGACCTATAGCAAAGAGCTGAAACATACCTTTGGGAGAGCACAACTCGGTGGCGGTTGACATCCTGAACCCATCTTGTCCTGACTTTGGCTTTTCGTACGCTGGCGTATTGAGCCCAGACATGAGCAGGTCATCGGCGTCGGAACGGGATCCTGTCGAGACGACCGAAATATCTGAAGAGTTGGACAAGGTTCTTCCAGTCATTGCAGGTCGGGATCGCGCCCGCAGGTACGCTGGTGGTTTGAACGACCGACCCAGACTCGCCATGGTTGATTCCTCCTTGATGATTCCTGATGATTCCTGGTGCTTGTGACGATTATTGTTCATGCCATGTGCTGTGCCGTGCCGTGCCCCTTGTCGTGTAAGGTGCTTGCCGCAGACTCTGTTTATAAGCAGAGGCGGGAAGGGAAATGGAAGCTTGACTAGATGAGGTTGAGGCTCATGCGGGCGCGGCGTGTCGGCGTCCTCGTCTTCGTCCTTCGTCTAGAATGAGATGTGCGTGCGTTCGTTTTCTTAGCCAACCGAATGAGGTTGGAATCCTGTGCTGGCGGGTATGGGCTTCCAAGGCTCCCTCTTTAACTGCACGTCGCCAGACGGGCGCAGGATCAGACCAGAGAAAGCGGGTAATTTGGTGGATATGTGAGGCCTGTGTGGAGGTGGATATCATGTAAGAGCAAGGGCATGTGTGTGCGGTGAGGGAGACAGTAGTCGCTCTTTCGTCCCCTCCCTCCGTGTTGCAGGTGATGGATTTCGACCTGACAGGGGCCCTGTTGTAATTGCGGAATGAATGGCTGCGATGTGCTTGAACTTGTGCCTCTGGCGTATCCTTTGCCCACTGGCTGTGGTAGGAAACCAGTCGCTGTTGCTGACTTGGAGTTGTTTCGTGTAGAAGGGGCCAAGTTTCGTCGGAGTAGTAGTTGCAGTGTTGTAGTTGAGGAAGGAAGGGTGTTGACGGATTTAAAGGCAGCCGCTATTTTTGGAGTGGAAGGTAAAAGTAATGCTTCGCTCCTTGGAGGCTTTTATTCATCAGGGCTCGGCTTGCATTCGGAAACAGGCTGGTACTCGTGTTGGGCAGACTGCAGGGTCCTCTATGTTCGAACACAAAAGAGATGATCTTTCTGCAAAGGGTCAAGAGCAATGGATGGCATCGAAGGATCAACGACGAAGGCGCGTGGAAGGGTGTTGGCGTCTGGGTCTTGCTGGGTTTACGGAGTATCTCACATCTCAGAAGGTATCCATTCGAAATGGTGTGTGGGTTTTGGTGGGATGGTGCGAGATGCGGAGACCGACCAAACGGAATGAGGGAGGCAAGGGGGAAACGGTTTCGAGGGTCTTCTGTTGCTAGCTTCCATTGGGTTATTAATAAGGGCCGTTGACTGTTAGGTTGGCCGTTCCACTGCTCCGGGCACCTTATTTTGCTTCGGCCGTTGAGGTGACCGTATTGGAGGGGTCCAAAACCGTCGGACCCGAGTGCCGTAAACGAAATACGTACCTTGATAAAGCTGCGCAAGGTGGAAGGGGCCGTACCTTAGGTACTCAGATGTCCGGAGCATTGTGGAATAAGTAACGTCTTTGGAATTTTAGAGTCCGGTCGGCTCAGTATCATAACCAACATGGTTCAATTTGTATCACAAAACCACCTTGTTGTTATTTCATCTGCGTAAGTGCATTATCAATTCGAGGGTCCACATGGTAGGTATCTCGACAAACGTGCTCTTCGGTTCTCATCTCCAAGATCGAGCAGGCACCGTCTTTCCGCAAGGTGCCTTGGTAAAGTTCCCTCTCACCTGCATTGACTTACGACGTAGAGTGCGTACCTATCTTTGGATCGCACATGCAGCAAGGTACCTTAGTATTCGTGTGGTATCGTCATCAGCATGACAACTACGAGGCAGATGCTAGAGAGCCTCCCCGTGACAACATTCACATGGCAGCTCCTTTTAGCCTGTATACCCTGCGATCTGAGGTTCCTGCTGCGCAAGGAGCTCAGCCGCAAAATTGAGGTTGGCCATTTTCACCGCTTAACCTACACTATCTTAACTTACATCAGGAGCCAAATCATCCAGCTAGCACGGAACTGCTGCCGTCGATCTTTCATGTCGATCATCACCGGGTTTCCAAGCCTGACGAGAACCACATCGAGGCCTGTGACATCCAGTCGGATGAGCCCTCGTACACACACGAAAGAAGGTCGCTCTTATCAATCCTGATACTCATGGCTTAGAGCCTGTGGCTGCGCGAGCGGGCAAGTGGCAATTTCACGCATGTATGCCATGGAGGTAAGACTATTCTCCTACAAGACTATTCTCCTGTCGAGCTGGATGTAATAGTGGCTGCTGATTCAGATTGTCACCATTTGCCACCTGTCTTTAACTACTTGCGGCATCCAACAGCGATCGAAGGCCTTCTCCAGCCCAGCAGCTCCATTGCAAAGGATCCGACTGGGCCACCTGAAAGCCGATCCGCGCTGGACGGAGAGATAAAAGACATTCGGTTCAACGCTTCCACACTGGCTACCCGGAGCCTGCTCGACAGAAACCGACCGTCGTCCAAACGTGTCGTTCAGCAGTTGTCTCTTTTAACCCTCATGCTTTCTCCTCCACTTGTCGCAGCATATGGACGGCACTGTCTCTGCTACGGTCCAAGTATCCATACAACCCCCTCCGCCTTCAGGCTTTCGGTCCTAGCCGATAAAAACCTCCGCATCGTCGGGCGTTTATGACTTTTCACTCCGTCCCGCTGCTACCACTGGCGGGGCCCACGTTGGGAGAGACAGGGGGCGGAGGCTGTCGTCTTAGTGTACATAACGCTAGAGAAGGACCAGAGGCAGAGGTTGAGAGGGTCTTGGGATGCCCACTTGATTCATTCATGGGCCATGATCCAATCACCCAATGCATGTCCTGGGCTTGACCTTTCAGGCTTTGAATCGGAAGCAGCAAAAACTGTGCTGATCTTGCCGCCGATCGCTTCCGCCTTCTCAAGTTTGAACAGCCGCAAGGCCGCAGATGCTTTCAATGGGTCGATTTTTTGCCCAAGGTTAGAAGCGTGAAAGGATACAGCGGGTGCTAGGCACCGCGAAACGGCGAGTCCTGTCGGCTCACTCCTATACCCTGGGTTTCCCGGCTTTGGTTGACACTGAAGTCTCACTTTGCCGGCTGCCGCCTTCACTATCGTCGTTCGCTCTGGGGTTACAACAGGGGACGTCAAAGCGCACCGACCCCCCCGGGTCTTCCGTCGCTTACATCCCGCTTGCGGCTCTCCGACGGTGGGATGAAGGTCAAGCCTCACTGATGCCCGCCACCAAATGCCCTCTTAGATCTCGTTACGGACTTATTCCGCTAGCATTTGCGGCCCAAATTTCCAGTCTCTAAAGTGTTGTAACGCGAGGGCCGCTCAGGTGCATTGGGCCTATTCAAGAATGTTTGGCCGGATTTTTCTGAAGCGCGCTACCCTCGCCGATATCTGGTAGAGATAACCAGCGACGAGCGGGCTGTCAGGGTCGCCACAGACACTACGTCACAGCGCAGTGGAGACACGACGTTGCTTAGTGCCTGCGGGGTTGGAAAACATGACCCCTGGACCCCTTGCTTTTCCTATGTAGGACTTTTGAGGCGCCGGGCCTGGCGTGCCTGGCAGTCACGCAGTCAACTGCATCCATCTGGTCCAAGGAGCGGTAGAACGGCTCTGGTACGCTAGATTCAGGAGGAACACCTCCGGGCTGTGCATTGCTAGATGGAGACAGCGTTTTCATGCACCCACCGCACGGTACAGCACTCGGCTCAAGAGTTCCCTGAGGGTTTCTGGGGCCGTCCACGATGGGATGGATGAAAGGGACTTGAGGCGCAGCATTCTTTTAGAGTGCCCCTTGGAGACAGACGATCTTGTAGGGAGGATCGAAACTCTAAGGAAGGCAGAAACGCGGGGCCGCTCACCTCCGGCAGGGACAGCTACGCCGGCGCCGACGACGGCGCGGCGTGTACGATTCAGTCGTCAGGGTTTTCGAAGGGGGGACACACGGTCCCCGTGTCAGTACCGGCCGGCCCCGGCTAAGGAAGACGGACGGGTGTCAGGTTGAGCATCGTTTGTTTTTCAGTAATCTATTCGTGGCTTAATTCTTTTCAATGCAGGTCTAGTCACCGGTATAATCTCTCTGACATCTCACGTGGGTAAGCCTGGAGCATGTTTGCAAGGGACATGGTGACAGTCTTATATACCTATGGTGAACAAGTAAGTCGGCAACCACGGATTTCCTTTCTCATTAACCTCACAGCCAATTCGGACATCTAGTGTCCGAAGACGGCGACTGACTCTAGGATCTTTCGTAGGGTTAGAATTGTGGAAAGAAAGCAAAAATACAAGATAAACCTCGCCAGGGTTTTGGTATCGTGTTTGCGGCAGAATTAAAATACTCCAGAACACCGGCCTCGTAACAACATTATCACCGGATCCCGAGCGTCCACCTCGACCATACACTCGCACAATGCCCACTTTCATCTACTCAGTAGACGAGCTCTATCACCCCTTGTGAAGTAGGCCACGGTTCGCTTTGAGTATCGTTTGTTTAGACCTTTCCACGGCCAGTGAAGCGGGTGCGGCGCTCGCGGTGTCTCCACCAGTAGGCGGCAGTCGCCAGCGCGCTGATGAGCCAGAGAAGGGCGTTGGCCAAGTCGACCCAAACGGCGTTCTTCATGCGCTGAATGCCGCTGTCGCCCTCTGCATTCTCCTTGATGTACATCTGGCAGGTCAAAAGTTAGTATGAGTAACTATGGCGAGAGAGGGCAGTGGGTAGGTTTGCATAGGTAGGGAACTGGTTTCGGTGTACGTACATTGCCAAAGAGACCGAACAGGGCGATCCAGAGGATGAAGAGGATGGCATCCCAGATCCAGACAATGGCGAAGCGCAGGATGAAGGGGATGAAGTAGAGCAGAGCCGTTACGGCGGAGAGAGCGCCGACCACGACAGCAAAGACCTGTTTTTTGGGGGCGTTGTTAGTCCTCGTTTCTGGATCCGAAACTCCCTGTTTTTTTAGGAGCATAGAAGATTTTCTCACCCATTTCCCGTCGGTGTAGCTCCCTTCACTTCTAGCGCGGTTGAGGTCGACGGCGTAGAGGCCGCATACGGTGACGGCCAGAACGAACTGGAAGAAGTGGAGGACGGAGAAGGCGAGGTAGCTCGCTGCCATGCCGAAGAGGCCCATCTCGGACTACGTTTTATCAGTGGTTGACGGCTAGATTGGAGGAGTCGTATGTGTTGGGTAAGAGTTTTTGCGGATTTGGAAGTGTTGGTTTAGCGGAACGATGAGTTGAGGTTGGGATGAGCGATGGTGGCAGCTTCACCGGGGTAGGCTGGAAGGGAGAGGGGGGTCTTATTCAAATTAAGGCTGCTGCGAACGAAGTTTTTTTTTCTCTTCTACGGGAACAGGCGTAGTGGTGAAGGCAACCTTGGCAGGTAATGATGACACCAACCTAAAGTCGAGCAAGGTGATTTAAGGTGGGCAGGGTCAGATGGAAGGGTAGCAGCGCCAGTTGGTTTAATCACACCACGAGGAGGGCGCTAGGGTGTGGGAAAGACACAAACAGGTTGATCGCCATCTTGCTTGTCTCAAACCGGCCGGATTCCCTCCAAGTCCCCCAACTCCCAGCGCGTCCTCGGTACCTAGGAAAAAAGAGGTCAAGACAATCTGGGAAGATATGAGTTGGTCCCCTATGACGCAGCACGAGGCCTTTAGCGCGGACGACGAGCCAGTCAGAAACGCGACTACTCCTCTAGGTGGGAGGTTCGCGTAGTTTTGGTGCAGGGGCCCAGGGGGGTGCTGTCATTGCTGTCATTGGATGTGGCCGTCTTCTTAGCCCTGAGAGGTTCCCGGTCTGCTCCTTGAGGTGTTGTTCAGGCCAGGGCTTGAGGGCTCAAGGTCACTGGCTCATGGAGCTATCGACGGGCAGGTGTCAGTCAGAGCAGCTGCCGCAGCTTGGAAACTCTGCACGTTTGCTCTGCTGGCCTGCGTCAGGGGAAGGTGCATCGAGGACGTCAGACCTGTCAGGTACGAGATGAGATGCCTCTACCGTTTGGAACCAAGAGGGAGGAAGTCGACCTCATTAACACGATGAGTTGACTAGGTATGTAGTAAGGTAAGGTGGGCATCATCGGCAGCATCTGAGCAGATTAGCAGTCTCACTTCAGCTGTGCCAGACAGTCAGTTGGCCCTAGTAGCACAGCGCTTCCATGACACTGGTCGACTGGGCCCTCGGACGATGTGACATGACCCTAATTTGACCTAGATTCTGATGTTTTGAGCACTTCCGACCCAAGTACTCCTCCCTGTTGTTGTTGCTCCTGGACGGCCCGAATCTGGCAGTGTTGGAAACAAACCTCGGACGGCACCTGCCTAATGATGACATTTGTGATCGATCTTTCATGTTTCTCATGTTGCTGACTGGCCATGTTTCTGAGCTGCTGATAAAGACTGCCCGCAAGACTGGGTGAACCGAAGCGCTGGGTTCCTACCAAGGTAGATCAATATACGGACACTCGGTACACCCAGGCGGGCCATTCTTCACCTCGGCAGGTACGAGAGTTAGACTCAGTGTTAGAAGCTATTTCCTGGCCTGTTCTACATGTTGCTCTTGCTTCTCCTCACCACATATCCACTTCCACATGCAGGATAAGGACGGAATTGTTAGTCAGTTCTCGGTGAAGAGAGCAACCTGGATTAGTTGACCTTGACTTGATGCTGCTTTCCACTTACGCCCAAAGGCGCGCGCATGTTGGCCCAAAGGTGGGCAGGTCCGAGCCTACCCAACGACATGCCTCGGATGCCGCAATCCTCCCCCGCAGAGGCCACATCCGACGATGCCCATTGCCGCGGTGCACCCATCTACAGAATGCGAATACTCCGTACACACTACCATTAACCAGATCCAGTCCACAACCTTGTTGTTCATCTCATCCGTTCCACAGCGTAAACGTTGACCTCTCGCTCATTGACTTCCCCTCCAACTCGTATAGCAACACGAGACAAGCAGAGACAACACAATGACGGAATCACGCCCCAAAGTCGACCTCCCCACGCCCCCCTTCCACCAGATCCCAGGTCTCCCCAACTTCCGCGACGCCGGCGGCTATCCCGTCGATGCCCTCCCGGCCGGCCGCATCGTCAAGCCCGGCATCCTCTTCCGCTCCGCCGAGCCCTCCCGCCTCACCGACGACGGCGTCGCTCGCCTCCAGAACCTCAACATCACCCACGTTTACGACCTCCGCTCCGCCATTGAGCTCGAGCGCCTCGCAAAGGCTGGCACGAGCTGCGACGTCCGCGAGTGGCCCGGCGCCACCCGCATCTTTGTCCCTGTCTTTCGGGACATGGACTACGGCCCCGAAGCTATTGCCTTACGGTACCGGAATTACTCTAGCAACGGGCCCGAGGTGAGTTTTCTCTTCTGCAAGCCACTCCTCCCCCTCTCACCATTTCCTACCTGTGCCGGTAACCAAAAGGGGGGAATGGCTCGCCACTCTGTGAGATTATGTGTGAAATTCTAAAACAAACGTTTCCGTAGGGCTTCACAAAGGCCTACACCGACATCCTCCGCGCCGCTTCGGAGGCAGACCACCCCAACGACCCCTTCCACACCATCCTTTCTCACCTCGCCTCCACCGAACCCCCGACTCCGCTGCTCATCCACTGCACCGCTGGCAAGGACAGGACGGGAATCATCTGCGCCCTCATTCTCAGCCTCTGCGGCGTCTCGGACGAGGTCGTGGCCCACGAGTACAGCCTCACCGACATTGGTCTCCAGGATCGGAGGGAGGAGATTATTCAGCATCTTCTCGCTACCGAGGCCATGAAGGGGAACCCCGAGGGGGCTAGGCGCATGATTGGATCTCGGTATGTGCTTGCTCACCATCACTCAATCACCTACTGTACCTGTTGCTAAACCCCGCTTAGGAAAGAAAACATGCTTGCAACGCTGGCTGCACTCCGCGAGGAATACGGTTCGGTCGAGGCGTATGTCCAGAATAGATGTCGTCTCTCGCCAGACGACATCAGCCGTATCAGGTCAAACCTGGTGGCAAATGCTGATGACGGACGTAAAGTAGTCGACTGGGTCTCACATACAAAGTATTTGCTTTGATAGAAAAAAAAGGGCTTATTGGAAGGAATAAAATGCATTTCTTGCTGGGCTGGATTGAAGCTTCATCCTTTGAAGCGCGCCCCTCCGCTTGAGTCCGTCGTCATATAGGGTTACATGTATATAGGTACAGTTGATAGACACAGACGCTTTATCGTAAAGCGTCCACACGAGAACTGAGCCAACATGACTTCAGTTCATCTTCTGATTGGTTTTAGTGGCTGTTTTTGAGCCGCTTCTCCTCCTCCAGCGTGCCGTCGCTGGGTGTGATGTAGTCGGCAATAGGCAGTAAGGTCTGGGTTGGACACGTTCAAGGCACCGATGTGGGAATCTTCGTCTCGCCCTTCCTGCGGTCATAGAAGGGGACACCGTATCTCCAGCCGACGCCTCCTCTGCTGCGGCCGTTCTTTCCGACGGTCTCGACATTCATCTCCTTGAATCTGAACTCGAAACGACCGGTATCAACACGCGTCGTCTCCTCCTCGACCTTTTCGAGACGCTTGCGCTCTCTCTCGACCAACCTGTCCTCCTGTGCCCTCGTCTCGGCGCGGAACTTGCGCGTCAGCTCAGCTCTGTCGCCGCCGTTGGCGGCCGCCCTCCTCATGTCAATGAGCTCCTTGTGCGGTGAGCGATCGTCAATCGAAAGCATGTTTCTATGGAAGGCCTTTGCGGCGTCTTCTCTATTGAATTGCCGCGACTCAGACACGGGCACGAAGAGTTGTTGCATCGTGAGCTTGTGGACGTGGATCTCATTCACGGGCTCGTGGGGCCTCTGGTCTCTTCCTGCGTCCGACAGGTAAGTCTGGGGAAGCATGCTCATGATGGCCTGGGCATAAGGTCGAGCTAGTGGTTTGCGCTGCGAAGAAGGTTCCTCAAGTCAGCAAAGACTGTATACGTCTGAAATGATGTGCGAAACATGAGTTGAGAATTTAAATAGTAGCAAATCAGAGAGGCTCGCAGTGCCAAGGTGTAACCATATGTTGCGTCTTCAAGACTAATCGAATTTTGGAAAGTTGATCATCATGATGCTGGGGTGGGTGGAGGATGGATCCACCGAAGGGGGGATTTGATGGATTAAATGAATGGTTATGCTTACCTCTGTTACCCACTGCTTCTCGATCTCCTTCATCCGCACCACGGCAGCGACGCGGCGAACATCGATACCCAGCTCCGCCGAGACGAGCTTCAGCGACTGCTTGGCCACCGTGACCCTCCGGTAGACCTCGTCCCTCAGCCTCTCGCTCAGCACGGGTTCGCTCCGGAAGAACGGGTTCATCGGGAACGGCTGGTCCCTGGAGCCGCCCAAGTAATAGACACCGTTCTCAGAGTCTCTCAGTTTGGCACCTCTACCAAGCTTGAAGAACTCGTGCATCCTGTGCTGCGCCTTGCTCCTTCTCGACTGGACCGGCGTCGTCGAAAAGGCGCATCGCGAGCCCGCATACGCGGCGGCGGACGCATCGCACCACTTGGTCGCGAGGACCAATGGCGACAATGACGAGCCCGCTCGTGCCGACATTGTGTGCAAAGCAAGAAAAAAAGAAAGGGGTATTATCTCGACGCAGAAGGTGCGCCGTGGATTGCACCGATTTTACGGCGAAGCAACCATTTGGGAGCTTGAGTAAAACGTGGGTGTGGTTGTTTTGTGAAGAAGGGAGACTTTTTAAAGCTCCGACCAATTTTTCTCTCGTTTTCTTAGGAGAACGCGCACGGACCACATCGCGGATAATTTGCCTTGCTCAATTGGCCTTGTGCCTCAGGACAGGACAGGACCGAAAACCGTCTCCCAAGCTCCGGACTCAGACCCACCTACCGGTCTTCAACATCCGTCTTCCGGTTATCAGATAATCCCGTCTTGTCCCTCCCGTTGAGTACAATCGATAGAACTCAGATAGGGTGAACTCGGGTCTGGCCAGGCACCTCTCGTCATTTTCTTTACCGTGCAAAAGTCTCTAGAGATCACAATTGAGCCATATCCTTCACCTCAATACAGTATACCTACCAGGCCAAACATGAAGTCACGATCAATGCGTGTCATCTCAGCAAAATCCTCTATTATATGCGTTGCTGAATCCAT